TACCTCTAGTCTTCATTGTAGTTCCTTTTTGGGGATACCTTATGAACTCCTTAATATATAACTGGTTAAACCAAAAAAAGGAACTACAATGGAGACTATAGGTATAACATGCACTTGTGAGGCGTCAGAGGGGTTCACGAGGATTTTGCACGGGCTGGGACCTAAATGCATCGGGAATACGAACACCCCCAAACATTACAGCTTTAAGCCCAAATGCATCCATTTCCCCTGGCTGCAGCGGCGGAAGAAAGAGCCGGAAACCCTCAACCCCAAAACAATAGCCAAAGAAGAAGAGCCCTAAGTTCCAAAAATTGCAAAGCTGCCAGTACCACGCTAACCCTTCTACTAGCCCTTCTTGACAGAAACCCCCAACCAAAAAACCCTAAGTCCTAAACGTTATCTAAACCTCGTATCTGTATCAGACCTTACACACTATAAGGCGGAACCCGACATAAAGTCCTGCAACCACAATACAAATCCCATCAACCTGTAATAAAACTTACAAACTTCAAAGGATAGAACCCTAAACGAAAAAACATGTGAACCGAGGTGCAAAGGAGGCGGTTGGCCTTCGGCAGCACCTCTGCGCGGATGTCCAAAGGAGGTTGTACCTCCAGCAATAGGCTGAGTGCTACCCTTAAGCCTAAACCCTAAAACCCTAAAGTCCTAAACCCTAAACCATAAACCCTTTTCTGCATCTGGTTTGCAGCGACTCAACCAGGACGGAAACAAGAGGCATGCGAAGGCACAGCTATAAACCCTAAAGCCCTAAACCCTGAAATCCTAAAACCCTAAAACCCTAAACCGGGGCTTCGGGCTTTAGTGCACGTGGTGTTCATGGCCTGTGGGTTTGAGGCTTCAGGCATTCAGGGCTTGGGGGTTCAAGGTTCAACAGGCTGAGGGCTTCGGGGCTTTCAGTTTCGGGGTTTGGGCGTTAGGGTTAGAGTGGTTTCGGGTTTTTGGGACAAGGGGAAAACCATGGAAACCCAAACGCTACATTCATCAAGAACATGCAGCCCCCAAACAGTCTGGCATGCTCAACCACAAAAACTTACAAGCGGTGTTGTACGTCATAGTTCTACCAGCAAGGAGCATTAATAAACCAAGTGAAAAATCTCCACTGCCCTGAAGACAATCAAGCATTGAAAAGCCTGAGGAGCCAGTGGAACCCTAAACCCTTGACTTCTAGAGTGGGGCCTCACCCGTTTAGTGCGGAATCGGTGCAGGCTTCAAAAGGGCTTTGGGCTTAGGGATTACCGTCGAGGGATTTCCGCATAAGATCGAGTTGGAGTTTCGCGTTCTTGAGAACAGTGCTTGAGATTTAGAGGTGGGGTGTTTGGTGCAGACTTGTGCACGAGACATTGGGTAATATAGGGGAATTAGAATAGGGTTTCGGGATATATTCGGTATATTATAGTATACTTGTGACAAGGAACCCCAGAATGGTATAGGTAACTATTAAGGCCCCAATATTAGACTAAGCCATGAACTGTAGACCGCAACTCTCAGCCCAGAGCCTGGCGGTCATGTCGCGCCACACTTCACTTACTTTCACGTGTCATCTCAGTGACGACAGCGGCGAGGAGGATGGAGAAAGCACGGATCATGATGTTGATGCTGGCGCTGTGGTGCTGAGAAGCATGCAACGAATTTGTGAAGATGATGCGTGTGACGATGAGGATGCTTGCGATGACGAAGAGGATGCTTGCGACGGCGGTGGTAATGATGCATGCCGACCTGCGAGCTGACATCCAACAACAACTGCTACGTACCTTGGCCTGATCTGATACGAGCACTCATACTGATACTGACGTGAATGCTACTACTGATACTAATACGAATACAACTATTAATACACATATCAGTTCTAGTCCTGGTACGAATTTACTAATACGAAGCAAAATAGCAATAATGATCATTAGCATCACAACAGTCATATCAATATCATAATAGCCATAACAAATAATGATTCTACAATTGGTAGAAACCCTCCTAGAACAAGCGTCGTTGCCGTCCTATCCGCCCTAAAACCCTAGACCCACAATCCTGAACCCTATTGCCTACAAACCCTCCTACACCCTAAACCCTAGCCCCATATAGTCGTGCGCCCCCTCCCCCCCACACCCTTAAAAGTCCCTAAATTACCCTACAAACCCTCCTTCTGCAGCAGGCTTCTCTCGCCCTCGGAACTGCCGTCGACGTGAAGCAGTGCAGCACTCATGACTAACCCTCCTAAACCCTGAACCCTAGACCCTAAACCCATATAGTAGCAGCAGTAGTAGTAGTAGTAGTAGTAGTAGTAGTAGTAGTATAGTAGTAGTAGTAGTAGTAGTAGTAGTAGTAGTAGTAGCAGCAGTAGTGCCCTCTTACATTCAGCCTTCCACTTG